GTGATGATGTCAGTGATGGTGTGGTGAAGATGTCAGGGTGGTGGTGGTGATGATTCAGTGATGGTGTGGTGAAGATGTCAGTGATGGTGTGGGATGATGTCAGTGATGGTGTGGTGAAGATGTCGTGAGGTGTGGTGAAGATGTCAGTGATGGTGTGGTGATAATGTCAGTGATGGTGTGGTGATGTCAGTGATGGTGTGGTGAAGATGTCAGTGATGGTATGGTGAAGATGTCAGTAATGGTGTGATGAAGATGTCAGTGATGGTGTAGTGAAGATGTCAGTGATGCTGTGGTGAAGATGTCAGTGATGTGTGGTGAAGATGTCAGTAATGGTGTGGTGAAGATGTCAGTAATGGTGTGGTGAAGATGTCAGTGATGGTGTGGTGAAGATGTCAGTAATGGTGTGGTGAAGATGTCAGTAATGGTGTGGTGAAGATGTCAGTATGGTGTGGCGAAGACGTCAGTAATGGTGTGGCGAAGACGTCAGTAATGGTGTGGTGAAGATGTCAGTAATGGTGTGGTGAAGATGTCAGTAATGGTGTGGCGAAGACGTCAGTAATGGTGTGGTGAAGATGTCAGTAATGGTGTGGTGAAGATGTCAGTAATGGTGTGGTGAAGATGTCAGTAATGGTGTGGCGAAGACGTCAGTAATGGTGTGGTGAAGATGTCAGTAATGGTGTGGCGAAGACGTCAGTAATGGTGTGGTGAAGATGTCAGTAATGGTGTGGCGAAGATGTCAGTAATGGTGTGGCGAAGATGTCAGTAATGGTGTGGTGAAGATGTCAGTAATGGCGTGGTGAAGATGTCAGTAATGGCGTGGTGAAGATGTCAGCGATGTAGTGCTAGATGATGCACAACACTGGGTGACCCCTGGCACTGGGTGACCCCTGGCACTGGGTGACCCTTGGCACTGGGTGACCCTTGGCACTGGGTGACCCTTGGCACTGGGTGTCTCTGGCACTGTGGTGGCTACAAGCACAGTGACATTCAACTTTAGTATTCCTACTTTAACAGTGCTGGACTAGAAATGCATAAATTGTTGCTATATATATATATATATATATATATATATATATATATATATTATATAAATATATATATATATATTATATATATACATACATATATATATATATATATATATATATTATATATATATATATATATATATATATATATATATATATATATATATATATATATATATATATATATATATATGTGAAAGACAAGCCACGGAGGGTGGAAATTTTTAGGTCAAGTACTTTCACACTTCTGAGTGCTTCATTAGGAGCTATGTAAAGTTGGAAGGCAACGAGAGGCGTTGCGGCAGGTGTCAAACCCGTACTGCGCTATTCTGAGGCAAACCTGACCCTCAAGTGTGAAAGTACTTGAGCTAAAGATTTCCACTCCCCCCCTCCCTCCCCGTGGCTTGTCGTGCATTGTTATGATCGCCTGTCTGCGATTGTTTGCATATACACACACACACACACACACACACACACACACACTTCGCTCCTAGTAACAGGAATAGCAGCTAGTAAATACTATGAAAATACTATGTAAAGAAGTTATATTTGTCTGCCAATTGCATGCTTGCACAAAATGGAGTCGTAATATCCTTAACCCAAATAAAGGTAATTACAGGAGTTCATTCTATTTATAATTAATCGAATTTACACAGCCGAGTGTAATACTGTTTCAGTGGAGGCAAATTCAATACGCAGTTTCATTTTTTTTACTTGAAGAGGCAGGGCCAGGAGCTGAGTCTCGACCCCCTGCAAACTCAACTTTGTCAGTAGTGATTAACAAAACTCTGGCACCACAAGAGAGTTATTTCACTAACCTCATTTAATTGTTTAATTGCTTTACATAAAGCTAAGCAAAAGTTATGTACGAATTAAATATTTGTTTACGGTAGAGTGAAATGTGAAGGAGGTCATAGAGCCAGTTATTATTGACCTTCATAATAACTATACCAAGTGTTATTACATAATACCTTAACATTACCTATGGTAATGTAACAGTGAAACCATCCTCAGGCAAGTGTGTGACATCACTGTCCCATTATATTTCCTGGAGGTGTATAATTAAGAGAGATGAGGAGAAGCCCAGGAGCCTTGCTATGTGCAGTCTAGCTCAGCCTTGAACTGAGCAGGAAGCCTCTAGCTGGCGGCACTCGTGACGTCACGCAACAAGGGAGCTATAAAGTACCTGGGATTATCTAAGTATACTACAACTATCAGATTTTGCCACCGAAGTGGCTAGTTTAATGTGAACGTCACATCCATCGTGTGGAGGCTGCTGTAACACCACTGGCTACTTTATATATATATATATATATATATATATATATATATATATATATATATTATATATATATATATATATATATATATATATATACACACACACCACAGAAGCAATCACAGACAGGCGATCTTAACAATGCAAGACAAGTCCGGATTTCCCCCTCCCGTGGCTTGTTTTGGATATATATTATATATAATATATATAATATATATATATATATTATTATATATATATATATATATATATATATATATATATATATATATATATATATTTGCATGCACTAACTAAAAGAGCATCTAGTACTGAAGATATAAACAAAATACTCTAGGACAGACGTAAATCACACAAAAGATCTAGCAAGACAACATATGTGCTGAGTGTGTAGGAGGAGGTTGTGAAGGTGGCAACCCTGACCACCACCTAGGTGAAGGTGGTAACCCTGACCACCACCTAGGTGAAGGTGGTAGCCTGACTACCACCTAGGTGAAGGTGGCAACCCTGACCAACACCTAGGTGAAAGAGACAACCCTGACCAACACCTAGGTGAAAGAGGCAACCCTGTCGAACACCTAGGTGAAGGGGACAACCCTGACCACCTAGGTGAAGGTGGCAACCCTAACCAACAACTAGGTGAAGGTAGCAACCCTGACCACCACCTAGGTGAAGGTGGCAACCCTGACCACCACCTAGGTGAAGGTGGTAATCCTGACCACCACTTAGGTAAAGGTGGCAACCCTTACCACTACCTAGGTGAAGGTGGCAACCCTGACCACGACCTAGGTGAAGGTGGTAACCCTGACCACCACCTAGGTGAAGGTGGTAACCCTGACCACCACCTAGGTGAAGGTGGCAACCCTGACCACCACCTAGGTGAAGGTAGCAACCCTGACCACCACCTAGGTGAAGGTGGCAACCCTGACCACCACCTAGGTGAAGGTGGCAACCCTGACCACCACCTAGGTGAAGGTGGTAACCCTGACCACCTAGATGAAGGTGGCAACCCTGACCACCACCTAGGTGAAGGATGCAACCCTGACCACCACCTAGGTGAAGGTGGCAACCTTGACCACCACCTAGGTGAAGGTGGTAACCCTAACCACCACCTAGGTGAAGGTGGTAACCCTGATCACCACCTAGGTGAAGGTGGTAACCGTGACCACCACCTAGGTGAAGGTGGCAACCCTGACCATCACCTAGGTGAATGAGGCAACCCTGACCAACACCTGGCTGAAGGTGGTAACCCTGACCACCACCTAGGTGAAGGTGGCAACCCTGACCATCACCAAGGTGAATGAGGCAACCCTGACCAACACCTGGCTGAAGGTGGTAACCCTGACCACCACCTAGGTGAAGGTGGCAACCCTGACCATCACCAAGGTGAAGGTAGCAACCCTGACCATCACCAAGGTGAAGGTAGCAACCCTGACCATTACCAAGGTGAAGGTAGCAACCCTGACCATCACCAAGGTGAAGGTAGCAACCCTGACCATTACCAAGGTGAAGGTAGCAACCCTGACCATCACCAAGGTGAAGGTAGCAACCCTGACCATCACCAAGGTGAATGAGACAACCCTGACCAACACCTGGGTGAAGGTGGTAACCCTGACCACCACCTAGGTGAAGGTGGCAACCCTGACCATCACCAAGGTGAAGGTAGCAACCCTGACCACCACCAAGGTGAATGAGACAACCCTGACCAACACCTGGGTGAAGGTGGTAACCCTGACCACCACCTAGGTGAAGGTGGCAACCCTGACCATCATCAAGGTGAAGGTAGCAACCCTGACCATCACCAAGGTGAAGGTAGCAACCCTGACCATTACCAAGGTGAAGGTAGCAACCCTGACCATCACCAAGGTGAAGGTAGCAACCCTGACCATCACCAAGGTGAATGAGACAACCCTGACCAACACCTGGTGAAGGTGGTAACCCTGACCACCACCTAAGTGAAGGTGGCAACCCTGACCATCACCAAGGTGAAGGTAGCAACCCTGACCATCACCAAGGTGAATGAGACAACCCTGACCAACACCTGGGTGAAGGAGGTAACCTTTACCACCACCTAGGTGAAGTAGGCAACCCTGACCAACACCTAGGTGAAGTAGGCAACCCTGACCAACACCTAGGTGAAAGAGACAACCCTGACCAACACCTAGGTGAAAGAGGCAACCCTGTCGAACACCTAGGTGAAGGGGACAACCCTGACCACCTAGGTGAAGGTGGCAACCCTAACCAACACCTAGGTGACGGAGGCAACCCTGACTATCACCTAGGTGAAGGAGGCAACCCTGACCTACACCTAGGTGGAGACAACCCTGACCAACACCTTGGTGAAGGAGGCAACCTTCACCAACACCTAGGTGAAGGAGGCAGCCTTCACCAACACCTAGGTGAAGGAAGCAACCTTCATCAACACCTAGGATAGAGTGCCCTCATTCCCTACCCTACCCAACCCTCATGCCATTAAGGCCTATACTACATTCTAAAATACCACTACGAGCCTTATGGCAGAGGAGAGGGTGGGTCAGCGGGCAGCTGGCTCCGGCAGATGGCAGACGGAAGTCTGGAGACGGGAGATAGGAGTCTGGAAACTGGACTGTGGCGTCATGGAGAGGAGAAGAGGTTTGAGACATGGGTAGGAAGAGAGGTTGGGAGGAATGTGTGTGTGGAGACAAATAACGTACCAAGTTCTGCGCTAGTAGAGTCTTGTCGCCCTCTGGCAGGTGCTCCTCCAGCGCCAACACGATGCAGTTGGCGATGATCGTCAACAACACAGCGTACTCGAACGGAGTGAAGCATTGTTAAGGAAAACTCTGTCGTGGTGAAGTGTATCATGAGAAAACACATATGATTATCAGTGATACATACAGCATCTCTCACTAGGCTGACAACATTACGTATATCAAGGGGAGGGGAGGGGACATGTATGATTATCAGTGATACATACAGCATCTCTCACTAGGCTGACAACATTACGTATATCAAGGGGAGGGGAGGGGACATGTATGATTATCAGACATATATAATACACACAACGAATATAATGGAAATAAACCACTTTGTCTGACTTTCTTGACTTATCCTAAGTAATTTAACATTATGTATGATAATTGTACCTATGTGTACCTGTACCTAAATAAACTTACTAACATCACTGACAGGCTGACAATATAGACCTGGTCTGGGACTACACCACAGTGACAACAACAACAACAACAACAACAACAACAACGACAACAACAACATCAACAACAACAACAATAATAAATAATAATAATAATAATAATAATAATAATAATAATAATAATAATAATAATAATAATAAAAATAATCTTTATTTCTAAAGTACATGATACAACTTACACAGACCATAGCTGACATTATATAATAATATATAAAATATATATATATATATATATATAATATATATATATATATATATAATATATATATATACATGTGTGCAAGGAATTCGCAAGAGCAGGCGAAATATACACAAACACTGATCTCTGGCTGAAGAGACTCGAACCTACTCGTCACTATCACACACTATACCACGTCACTACCACACAATATAACACGTCACTACCACACAATATGACACACGTCACTACCACACAATATAACACGTCATTACCACACAATATAACACGTCACTACCACAATATAACACACGTCACTGCCACACAATATAACACATTACTACCACACAATATAACACGTCACTACCACACAATAAACACGTCACTACCACACAATATAACACACGTCACTACACACACATATAACACGTCACTACCACACAATATAACACGTCACTACCATACAATATAACACACGTCGCTACCACACAATATAACACACGTCACTACCACACAATATAACACGTCACTACCACACAATATAACATCACTACCACACAATATAACACACGCAACTACCACACAATATAACACGTCACTACCACACAATATAACACGTCACTGCCACACAATATAACACGTTACTACCACACACTATAACACGTCACTACCACACAATATAACACGTCACTACCACACAATATAACATACGTCACTACCACACAATATAACACGTCACTACCACACAATATAACACACGTCACTACCACACAATATAACACACGTCACTACCACACAATATAACTCGTCACTACCACACAATATAACACGTCACTACCACACAATATAACACGTCACAGACACACAATATAACACACGTCACTACCACACAATATAACACGTCACTACCACACAATATAACACGTCACTACCACACAATATAACACGTTCACTACCACACAATATAACACACGTCACTACCACACAATATAACACGTTACTACCACACAATATAACACTTTACAGACACACAATATAACACACGTCACTACCACACAATATAACACGTCACTACCATACAATATAACACGTCACTACCACACAATATAACACACGTCACTACCACACAATACAACAAGTCACTGCCACACAATATAACACGTCACTACCACACAATAAACACACGACCCTACCACACAATATAACACGTCACTACCACACAATATAACACACGTCACTACCACACAATATAACACGTTACTACCTCACAATATAACACACGTCACTACCACACAATATAGCACACGTCACTACCACACAATATAACACGTCACTACCACACAATATAACACGTCACTACCACACAATATAACACACGTCACTACCACACAATATAACACATCACTACCACACAATATAAAACGTCACTACCACACAATATAAAACACGTCACTACCACACAATATAACACGTTACTACCACACAATATAACACGTCACTACCACACAATATAACACGTTACCACCACACAATATAGCACACGTCACTACCACACAATATAACACACGTCACTACCACACAATATAACACGTCACTACCACACAATATAACAAGTCACTACCACACAATATAACACGCCACTACTACACAATATAACACGTCACTACCACACAATGTAACACACGTCACTGCCACACAATATAACACGTCACTACCACACAATGTAACACACGTCACTTCCACACAATATAATACGTCACTACCACACAATATAACACACGTCACTACCACACAATATAACACGTTACTACCGCACAATATAACACACGTCACTACCACACAATATAACACGTCACTACCACGCAATATAACACGTTACTACCACACAATATAACACACGTCACTACCACACAATATAACACGTTACTACCACACAATGTAACACGTTACTACCACACAATATAACACACGTCACTACTACACAATATAACACGTTACTACCACACAATATAACACACGTCACTACCACACAATATAACACGTCACTACCACACAATATAACACGTCACTGCCACACCATATAACACGTCACTACCACACAATATAACACGTCACTACTACACAATATAACACGTCATTACCACACAATATAACACGTCACTACCACACAATATAACACGTCACTACCACACAATATAACGCGTCACTACCACACAATATAACACGTCACTACCACACAATATTACACGTCACTACCACACAATATAACACACGTCACTACCGCACAATATAACACGTCACTACCACACAATATAACACGTCACAACCACACAATATAACACGTCACTACCACACAATATAACATGTTATTACCGCACAATATAACACGTCACTACCACACAATATAACACGTCACTACACACACATATAACACGTCACTACCACACAATATAACACGTCATTACCACACAATATAACACGTCACTACACACAATATGACACGTCACTACCACACAATATAACACGTCACTATCACACAATATAACACGTCACTACCACACAACATAACACGTCACTACCACACAATATAACACACGTCACTACCGCACAACATAACACGTCACTACCACACAATTTAACACGTTAATACCACAAAATATAACACGTTACTACACACAATATAACACACGTCCACTACCACACAATATAACACGTCACTACCACACAATATAACACGTTACTACCACACAATATAACACACGTGACTACCATACAATATAAACACGTCACTACCATACAATATAACACGTCACTACCACACAATATAACACACGTCACTACCACACAATATAACGTCACTACCACACAATATAACACGTCATTACCACACAATATAACACGTCACTACCACACAATATAACACGTTACTACCACACAATATAACACGTTACTACCACACAATATAACACACGTCACTACCACACAATATAACACGTTACTACCACACAATATAACACACGTGACTACCATACAATATAACACGTCACTACCATACAATATAACACGTCACTACCACACAATATAACACACGTCACTACCACACAATATAACGTCACTACCACACAATATAACACGTCATTACCACACAATATAACACGTCACTACCACACAATATAACACGTCACTACCACACAATATAACACGTCACTACCACACAATATAACACGTCACTACCACGCAATATAACACGTTACTACACACAATATAAACACACGTCACTACCACACAATATAACACGTTACTACCACACAATGTAACACGTACTACCACACAATATAACACACGTCACTACTACACAATATAACACGTTACTACCACACAATATAACACACGTCACTATCACACAATATAACACGTCACTACCACACAATATAACACGTAACTGCCACACCATATAACACTTCACTACCGCACAAATATAACACGTCACTACCACACAATATAACACGTCATTACCACACAATATAACACGTCACTACCACACAATATAACACGTCACTACCACACAATATAACACGTCACTACCACACAATATAACACGTCACTACCACACAATATAACACGTCACTACCACACAATATTACACGTCACTACCACACAATATAACACACGTCACTACCGCACAATATAACACGTCACTACCACACAATATAACACGTCACAACCACACAATATAACACGTCACTACCACACAATATAACATGTTATTACCGCACAATATAACACGTCACTACCACACAATATAACACGTCACTACCACACAATATAACACGTCACTACCACACAATATAACACGTCATTACCACACAATATAACATGTCACTACCACACAATATAACACGTCACTACCACACAATATAACACGTCACTATCACGCAATATAACACGTCACTACCACACAACATAACACGTCACTACCACACAATATAACACACGTCACTACCGCACAACATAACACGTCACTACCACACAATTTAACACGTTACTACCACAAAATATAACACGTTACTACCACACAATATAACACACGTCACTACCACACAATATAACACGTCACTACCACACAATATAACACGTTACTACCACACAATATAACACACGTGACTACCATACAATATAACACGTCACTACCATACAATATAACACGTCACTACCACACAATATAACACACGTCACTACCACACAATATAACCTCACTACCACACAATATAACACGTCATTACCACACAATATAACACGTCACTACCACACAATATAACACGTCACTACCACACAATATAACACGTCACTACCACACAATATAACACGTCACTACCACACAATATAACACGTCACTACCACACAATATAACACACGTCACTACCGCAC